CACGCGGCCCTGTTGAGCCCCCGAAATACACCTTGGCTCGCTGATCCATCCACTACAGTGGCGATGCACCTGTGAGTCGGTTTGACAGCGCACGGGCGCAGACGGTCACGCACATGGCCAGAGGCCTGCAGTCAGCCCCCCGCCACAACCCCCTGACAAGCAAGCGCGCAGAAAGCATGCCCCCCGAAGGGCGACCCCCTTCGCTCTCAGAATGCGGCGTAGCGGGCCGGGCGAGACGCGACCTGCATCGCAATGTAGCAGCGCCTGCGCCAGGCGACGCTCGTGGGATCTCTGAACTCCTTCCCCCCAGTGCTTACTGACCATGGCGGGGGAAGTATACAGCAGATCAATGACGTGCCTCCGCTCGTCCTGCCATCATGTAAATACCTGAGATTTCCAGCCTATGCGACGCAAACTAAGGGGCATCCGACGTAGGGGCCTCTCGAGGACTTCCAACCAGCAGATGTAACGTCGAGCTCCCGAGACTCCGCCATGCCCCTGCCCCTCCAGATCTGAATGCGCCCCCCAAGCGAGAAAGGAAAAGTACAGGGTTGGGTAGTCGCACGCCGAATACTGGAGGCCCATAGGAGCGCTGGGGCTACTGACAGCTTCCGCGCGGGGTCGCCGCGCGGCGCAATCTTGGCTGTGGGCGACGCCCCGCCGTCCTCGGGGTTGCGGCCGGCAAGTAAGGCGCGCTGCATGGCCTTGACCTCCGCGTCGGAGAAGCCGAGAACCATGACTCCACGGCCTGCAGGTCGCGCGCCTGCTACGTAAATTTCTGAAGCCCTGGACTTATCACGAGGGAATTAACGACGATAATAAGATCAAAGACGATGACAAGTACGCAAATCTCTTGAAACGTAGACGCCGTTTCGCCAGCCCCCCTCTGCATCCTCTCCTCTGTCCTGGCGCCGGGTCCGCGCCCGGGGAGACTGCGGCACTGGATGCCGCCGAAGGACAAGCTGCTCGCAGTCGCCGTGCGAGTCTGCGAGCCAGGCATCGCGAGTGCGACTACTGTCTCGCCCTCATCTCCACGGGCCACCACCGTGTCGTCATCCACGTGAGATCCCAGGGAGACTCCAGGGTCCCTGAGGGTGAACCTGTCGAATTTCAACATAACATACGCTTTCGCAAACACATCGTTACAGATGTCACCTGCTGGGGGGCCCGAGGTGGCATGGAAGGCCGAAAGGGGGGCAGATGGGGCCCAGTCGTATCACCCGAAGACCACGCCATAAGTTTTAGAAGGTCTTGATGAGGACCATGGGGGCTCTCCAGTAGGCGATTCGATCGCGGAGCCAGACCCAAACAAAGGACCCCAAATCTTACATCCCTTCCCTGATGCAACCTGCAGTAGCCTTCCCCTGAGAAGAAGCCTGTTCCGATTAAACACTCTGCTGCCGGACAACCGCCCCCGTGCTTGCGCCGTTCCCACAGGCCCAGCAGGGCCGCCGTGTCCTCTCCAGGAAAAAAATAGCAGCTCGGCCCCGACGGAGCCTCTCCCACATGCGGACGGGCGCGCTTAACTAGAGAATCGGCCGCAGACCGCCCTTGGGCTTCTCCAGACGGGGCAAAGGCATCGACAGTAGCTGGGCGGGGAAGAGACCGATCCGCTCCACGGCTTCGCAGAGCATTGCCAGGACCTCCAGCCCTTCGTCGCTCATGCTGGCGAAGTGGCGCCGGTGGAACCCATCCAAAGACTGCGATGTCGCACGACTGAACGACTGCGAAACCCATCTCAGCTCTGCTCGCGGAAAACGCCCACGATTCGGAACCCGCGCCGGCGGAGGCTCTGAGGTGGAATGCCAGAACTGTCCCAACTGTTGGGTCTCAGAGATAAGGAGGCTGCTGGGGTCCGATGAACATGTCAGGCAAGCTCTGAACGACCGTCGGGGCCCGCGCCTTCTGGATGCGAGCGAACCTGCGCACTGACCGAGCCGATCCCTGGAGTGCTCTGGTGGAGCACGTGTCCCCAGACTCCCGCGACGCCTTTTTCCCCGGCCGCCGCAGCCACCTCGAAGTCGGGCTGGACATCCTCAAGGAACAGGGGAACTCGCTCGAACCAGGCCTGCTCGTCGGGTCGATCTGCGCGCCATGCCAGCGCAGCTTCGCGCATCGCGCGAAGAAGCGCGTCGAGGCGGACGCCCGGGCCTTCCCCCGAGCACGCATGCTGCAAAGCCACGCGCATCTGCCGGCACAGAGACTCGCCCCGCTCGGACGCGCGCACCAGCGTGAGAAACTCAGCGAACAAACGGTAGAGCCACTTCCAACCTGCGATGACCTGGAGCCAATCATCTGGACCTTCGGGCGCTAGAACACCAAGCCCGCGGAGGCTTTGCATCCCCCCCCCCAGCCCACGACGCTCGGATCCGAATGCTCGGCAAGCTCCATCTCAGCGCAATCAATGAGATGGGCCCAGGTGCTAGCGAGTACTTGCCCTGCTAATCGCGCCGAGGAGTGGGTCGCCGCGGCTCGGGTGGCGCGTGCCAGAGCACCTCGCCACCAGGAGCTGGCCTAGGCCCGAGAGGTGGATCGAGCGGGAGACTTCGGTGCGATCTATAGACCAAGAGTTGCTCCGAACCAGGACAGGCACGCTTGATTTTGAAACGGACTGTGCGACGCGGTCTCACCTCCCAGGGCAGGTCGACGGCCGCCCCCCCGATGAGGCGCGCCACCCTAGGGCCCCGAACGAAAACATCGCTCGCGCTGCTCGACGCGGGAGAAGGACGCGCGGAAACCAACGGAGACATGAGAAGCGCGCCCAGCTTTCCAGGGAGACCCGCTTCGCCGAGGATTTGGACGCCCGAAATGGGCACGGAAAGAATGGGCACAATGCCCGACAGCAAATGTTGTCCCGAATCAACAGCGGCCGCTGTTTGGCAGGCGGCCGTCTGTCTCAAATGCGCACAGGCCGCGGCGGCGCGGACAGCGAGTCCCGTTCAGAATGCACAGGAACTGATGTCGAGCATTGCGCCCATTCTCTCCGTGCCCATCTCGTTCGTGCAGGCAGGAGTTGGGGACTGAGGTCCAGGTCGCCTCCGATAATCGCGTGAGCGAGGCCCGTGATGGACCTGCCCAAAGCTTTCAGGATATTCAGATCAACCTCGCCGAGGCCCTCCGCGGACTTCAAGCGCGCCGAATGCAGCGAGACCGTAAACCACCCGAGGAAATCAATCGAAACCATGACCATTCGATGTGGCCACGAGCGCCCATCTCCCCCACGGACGCCGGGCCGTCGGAGTCCCGCGGACAATCGAGCAAAGATTGCAACCCCGCTCGATAGCTCCCCAGCGCCAGGGCTAAGACGTGCAGGCAAGAAGAAAGAGTGCCAGCCCAAGCCGCGAACTGTCGCGGTAGCCTGGTCAGCGAAAAGCGGAGGAGATGCCCGCCTCCTGGGCGCACAGCATAACTGCGCCCGTCTCTGACAGACGGCGCCTGAGGGTACTCCATGAGGACCCAATGAAAATCTTCGAGTAGAATGCGTCGCCAGCCGACGTCTGCCTCGGCGCCCCTTTCAAGGGGGAACTGGCCGACCTGTGGCAGAAAGAGATACACCCAGAAACGAAGGGAACAGGTAGACCGTACATAGTGTCACCCACACTTCTGCTTTTTGGCTCGAGTGCCAATCTCCCGGAGTAGTGCATTGAAACCAGTGACATGATTATCTCCTTCCTTGCGAGCTGCGTTGGGCAAGCGTAGAACATCGTGTTCCTCCAATTCAACAACCACCTCCTCGTCATCGCCTGGGACTCAGACAGCCTCAGAACCAGGAGCCTGGTCGTCACGAGGTCCCATGAGTGTTCCAGGCGAAGGTGTTGGATGGGGAGGGAGAGACTTCGGGAGCCTGCTGCGCCAGCAACTCCTCATACTTGGAGAAGGCCTCGGACTGCGCCAGCTGCTGAACCTCAACTGGTTCCTGCGCCAAGGCCTCGAGGCTGAGTTCGGGTAGAACAAGCTGAGGGCCCTGCAGAGCAACCTGCTGCATCGGGCTATGGAGCTCGAGCTTGTGGGCATCAATCTCGACGCTGGCAGCGGCGACCTTCTCACGCGTGCCTGACAGTGCTTCTTGAGCTGCCACCGCTGCTCGCTGCTGCTCGACAGCTTCACCTTCCAACTTCGCCAACTTCTGCTGGGCCCTCGTGAGCTTGTGGCACGTGAGCACCAACTTGCGCTCGTTGATGACCTTGCGCGCCTGGGCCAGCTCCGACTCGAGGGCGGCTTGCAGCTGTGATCCTGGTGTCGTCTTGATGGCCGCCACTGCCTCCTCGAGTGCTTTAGCCCGTGCGCGAAGTTTGGCACCATCATCTTCTGCATCATCACCATCATCGCCAGTGGGTGGGGTCTGAGGATGACTGGCAACTCCAGGTCTCCCTTGAATATGACCATGCCCTCCAACATTGCCGCCGTTGCCGCCCTTGGTGAGCTGCTCGATCTGCTTGGCCAGCTGGGCGACCTGCTTCTCAAGCTGCTTGGACGAGGATGCGGACATGATGGCAGCAGGGGGCCCGCGCGCCCAGGCACCACCTGCACGAGGGCCACGAGCAGGGCCACGAGGTCCTTCACTACCATGCTTCGCTGCCTGTGCCGCTGCTGCCTTCTGGGCGCAGAACGCGATGTTCTGAGTCACCGCCTTGCCGCACGCGCAGTGGATGCGGTTGGCCCAGTTCTGGTTGCGCCCAGAGGCTGGGCAGCCCCAGGTGGGCTGCCTCGGCCCCAGCAGGACAGCGCCATCGCCATGCGGTTGGCCAGGCCCCTGCCTGGCCAGAAAGACTGGAGGGATGAGGTCCCTCGACCTGAATAGAAAACCAAATTGACCCGCGACAACGATTGCCGCTCTGAAGGCGACTGCCGCAAGCCCAGGACACGTGCCTGAGCCAGAATGACTGAGGAGGAGGAGGAGGAGGAGGAGGAGGAGGAGGAGGAGGGGAAGGAGGAGGAGGAGGAGGAGGAGGAGGAGGAAGAGGATATGGAGGAGGCGAGCAAGAGGAGGAGCAGTCGACCTCGTCCTCGCCCCCTGGCTGCGCGTCTGCCCTTCGAACTGGAGCCCCCGGGCGAGGCCGGGGTTCAGGCCGGGCGCCGCCAGCCGCGCCGCTCCCCGCAGGAAGGCGCGGAGCGCGGTGGCCGCGTCGGACTCGACGCGGAACTGGACGTCGGACGTGGGCTTCTTCAGCTCGCCCAGGGCTCGGGGCGCCTCCCGGGACGCAAGGCGGGGACTTCTCCAGGCCCACCGCCAGGGGAGCCAATCTTCCCGGGGCCCCAGGGGGCGGTGGCTGGGCACGCGTTCTTGCCCCACGGGGCCCGAATGTATCCGCATCCGCCGCCTGCCAAGGTCCAGGAAGGTCGGTTCCGCAGACGGTGGATATGGAGAAGCCTAAGCATCAAACAGGATAAGGGGAGGGCAGAGGGGCATTCGGACTTGAATTTGTATTCGAATGAACAACGCGCCGCTACTCCAATCGGCGGACTGACCGAGAGCAGCAACTCCATCACATCTCACCCATCTTCTGGGGGGGAGGGGGCAACCACTCTGCAAGCAATGATGGCAGCCCCAGGGATCCGACCCTATCCACTGCCTCCCGAGGTCCTGCAGAATCGGTCCCCAAAACAGGTGGTGAAAAGATACCAGAGGGGGGAGGGAGGCCCAGGAAGGGGGGAGGGAGGAGGGAAGGGTGCGTCAGTCTCGGTCGAGGGCTCTGCAGCAAAGACTACGGGTGAGCAGGGGTCCTGCACCCCTTCCAGCCCAGTTTTGGTGCGCTTGGGCCCCTGGGCAGCCTTGTTGTGGCACGACGAGGAGAAAACCTTCAAAAGACGCCCTTCACCCTCCCCCATACAGGATGAGAGAGGAACGATAGGATGAGGGGGGAGACAGGAGGGACAATTGCGCACGGAAGGAGGGGTCGCCGTCGAACGGAGGTATGGCTGAGAAGAAAGAGTGGATGAGGAAGGGGAGAGGAAAGGAGACGGAGGGCGGAAGGCCCTTCCCTTGGTCTCACGCTGACTCGCGCCAAGGCCCTGTGGTCCCAAAAGGTGGAGGCTAGAGCTCGACGAGAGCAGGAGCCAGAGGGCCCGCCATAGTCGAATTGGTGCGCATGACGCCGTTTCGGCTGGGTCCCGCCTCCGCCTCCGCCTCCCCCATCTCCGTCCCCATCCCCACTCTCCTCCTCCTCCTCCTCCTCCTCGTCCTCCTCCTCCTCCTCCTCCTCCTCCTCCTCCTCCTCCAGCAGGGTGCGCGTTACCAGCAAAATCGTGCGAACGCTTGCACGATTGGTCGAGGCAGAGCGCCGCATACATCGCGGTGTGCGCGGCTTCCGTCTCCCTGCACGCGCCAGGCCGAACCCGATCCGATCCGATCCTCGAGGGCGAAGCCTTCAGGTGGAGGTGCAGGAACGCCAAGCGGTCGCCACTGGGCTCATCATCTGGCTGGAGCGGGGGCTCGAAGAACACGTGCCTGACCCAGGAGTAGAGCACGTCGAAGCCGCCGCTGCTGGACTGGGTGGCGATGCGGAAGCCGTTGGTATGGGCCTCTCTGGTCAGTGTCATTATCCTGATCCTCATCGACCTCCCTCTCCTCCTGCCCTCTCTCCCTTCACCTCACCTCCCCTCCCCTCTGTCTTCATCCAGCTCCTCTTGTTCATCCCCCTCCCCGTCCCTCTCCTCATCCTCGTCAGCCTCCCCCCCCAAGCGCGCGATAGAGAAAGAGAGAGAGAGAGGAGGAGGAGAAGGAGGAGGAGGAGGAGGAGGAGGAGGAGGAGGAGGAGGAGGAGGAGGAGCAGGAGGAGGAGGAGGAGGAGGAGGAGGAGGCGGAGGAACGTGAGGACGAGCAGGACTGTAAGGCGCAGGAGGACGAGGAGAATAGGAGCGGAATGCCACGAACCACCGCGGCCTCCAGCGCACAGGCGTCCTTCGCTGCGGTCTTTGGGTGCAAGGCGATGCCAGGCAGGCGCGGAGGAGACTCCAGCACCACCAGCTGCCCCAAGTCCTGGAGGAGGGGGGGGGGGCTTGGGCCGTCTTGGGAGCCCTCGGGGCCTGCTTCGGGGCCTCCCAGGGCTCTCTTGGGGCTCTCCTGGGAGCCTCCCCTGGGCCCCTCCTGGGGCCCTTTTGGGCCGTCTTGGGGCTCTCTTGGACACGAAAGAGGAAGGGGGCCACGACCACAGAAAAACAGCAAGCTGCGTACGTAAACATAAGCTTTCGGAAGTCCGCGCCGATTTCCTTGGTTGACGCTGGACCCTCTGGTGGCTCCGACCAGATGGCCCGCAAATGCGTATGAGATGTTGGTGATGAGATCCCAAACCGCCCCATAACTAAAAAAGTATCCCAGTGCGACCCTACCTAGGAGTTGGAGGATCTAGGAAAGCAACATCAAACACTGATACGGAGCTAAGCTAAGCTAAGATGAGTTAAGCTAAGATGAAATAATATAAGCTAAGATGAGATAAGCAACGCTAAGCTAAGGGAACGTCGCTGGGGGAACCGCGGGGCGGATGCCGGGGGAACCGCCCGGGGCGAGCCCCACTGCCCGGCCCTTTAAGCTTAGCTATGCTATGCTAAGCTGCGCTATGCTATGCTATGCTATGCTGCGCGCTATGCTATGCTATGCTTGGCTATGTTATGCTATGCTATGTTATGCTAATGCAGCGCTGCGCTATGCTAAGTAAAACTAAGCTAAGTTAAGCTAACCCTCTAAGCAGAGCCTAGGTAGGGAATTACACCCATGCTATGATATGCGATGCTGCGCTATGCTATGCTACGCTATGCTATGCTATGCTGTGCTCTGCTATGCTAAAGCTCAGCGAAGCTAAGATGAAGGTAAGATAAGCTAATTTGAGGGATTTTCTGTGGAACTACCGTCATCCTCACCCCCGGCGCGGTGCCCAGATGAGCCCAAAGCGGCCTCCGGCACCGTTTCCGGACAGATCCGGTGGATCCGGTGACGAATCCCAAACCGGCGCCCTCGCTTGAGACATCCTCACAAAACCGGCCCCGGGGGAGGTGCCCAGAGGAGCCCAGAGCGGCCTCCGGCACCGTTTCCGGACAGATCCGCTGGATCCGGTGGATCCGCCGACGAATCCCAAACCGGCGCCCTCGCTTGAGACATCCTCACAAAACCGGCCCCGGGGGAGGTGCCCAGAGGAGCCCAGAGCGGCCTCCGGCACCGTTTCCGGACAGATCCGGTGGATCCGGTGACGAATCCCAAACCGGCGCCCTCGCTTGAGACATCCTCACAAAACCGGCCCCGGGGGAGGTGCCCAGAGGAGCCCAGAGCGGCCTCCGGCACCGTTTCCGGACAGATCCGGTGGATCCGGTGACGAATCCCAAACCGGCGCCCTCGCTTGAGACATCCTCACAAAACCGGCCCCGGGGGAGGTGCCCAGAGGAGCCCAGAGCGGCCTCCGGCACCGTTTCCGGACAGATCCGGTGGATCCGCTGGATCCGACGAATCCCAAACCGGCGCCCTCGCTTGAGACATCCTCACAAAACCGGCCCCGGGGAGGTGCCCAGAGGAGCCCAGAGCGGCCTCCGGCACCGTTTCCGGACAGATCCGTGGATCCGCTGGATCCGCTGGATCCGGTGACGAATCCCAAACCGGCGCCCTCGCTTGAGACATCCTCACAAAACCGGCCCCGGGGGAGGTGCCCAGAGGAGCCCAGAGCGGCCTCCGGCACCGTTTCCGGACAGATCCGCTGGATCCGCCGACGAATCCCAAACCGGCGCCCTCGCTTGAGACATCCTCACAAAACCGGCCCCGGGGGAGGTGCCCAGAGGAGCCCAGAGCGGCCTCCGGCGCGGTTTCCGGACAGATCCGGTGGATCCGCCGACGAATCCCAAACCGGCGCCCTCGCTTGAGACATCCTCACAAAACCGGCCCTGGGGGAGGTGCCCAGACGAGCCCAGAGCGGCCTCCGGCACCGTTTCCGGACAGATCCGGTGGATCCGCCGACGAATCCCAAACTGGCGCCCTCGCTTGAGACATCCTCACAAAACCGGCCCCGGGGGAGGTGCCCAGAGGAGCCCAGAGCGGCCTCCGGCACCGTTTCAGGACAGATCCGCTGGATCTGGTGGATCCGCCGACGAATCCCAAACCGGCCCCGGGGGAGGTGCCCATGGAGCCCAGAGCGGCCTCCGGCACCGTTTCCGGACAGATCCGCTGGATCCGGTGGATCCGCCGACGAATCCCAAACCGGCGCCCTCGCTTGAGACATCCTCACAAAACCGGCCCCGGGGGAGGTGCCCAGAGGAGCCCAGAGCGGCCTCCGGCACCGTTTCCGGACAGATCCGGACAGATCCGGTGGATCCGCGCCCCGGGGGAGGTGCCCAGAGAAGGAATGAGGAGGAGGAGGAGGAGGAGGAGGAGGAGGAGGAGGAGGAGGAGGAGGAGGAGGAGGAGGAGAAGATGATGGAGCTGTGGGGTGAAGGAGGACAGACGGAGGCAAGAGAAGGATGGAGGAGGAGGAGGAGGAGGAGGAGGAGGAGGAGGAGGAGGAGGAGGAACCTCATCCTCAGCCTCGCCAACAAGCGCACGCACCTTCTTCTATATACAGAAACTCCCGATCAACCGCAGAGCGGCCGGCTAGTATAAAACTGAAAGAATATGAAGCTAAGCTAAGGTAATATTAAATAAGCTAAGCTAAGATGAGATAAGCAACGCGAAGCTAAGGGAACATCACTGGGGGAACCGCGGGACGGATCCTGGGGGAACCGCCCGGGGCGGGTTACACTGCCCGGCCCTTTAAGCCTAATAGTAAGAACCCTTCTAGGCAGAGCCTAGGTAGGGAAATATGGAGACCAGATGTTCCGTTCCGCAATCGCGTGAGGGGAACACTCCGAAATCATGAAGCGTCTTCGGGCGCCAATTCTGAAGCCCTGGTGCAGTGCCTGGCATGAGATCTGCACCCCGTTGTCGCCAATCGCCAGAAAGCCAATTATGCTGCCCCTGGCCAGCAGATGTGCGAGGAGAGCTTCGCAAGAGCGGGCCTCTGGTTTGCACGGATTCCCTGGATTGGCGGGCGAAACTCGCTCACGTGGCTAGTAACACATAGTGGACTTGAAATCAATTTTGCACACGAATCTCACGAGGAAGCCAAACTTTGGACACCCGACATGGGTACGGGGAAATGGGTACGATGCCTAACAACAAATGCTGTCCAACAACCGGCAGGCGGCATTCTGTCTCAAACGGACAACGCCCGCGGCGACACCGACCGCGAGTCCAGTTAAAATCAAACAGGAGATGCTGTCGGTCTTTGTGCCCGTTCTTTCCGTACCAGTTCCGCTCGTCCCGACAGGGCGTCCTTTCGCAGCAGAGCAGGGAGAAAAGCCGGCGCACGGAACCCTCAAAAGCTGCAGACAGAAGCAGAGGGCAGAAAATCCACCCCGAAAATAACCACCCCGACGCGCGTGGCCTCTAGCAAACGCGCCCACAGAAGGAATCGAACAAAGCATGGCTGTTTAATAAACGCCCGAGGCCGTTTAGTAAACGCCACTTGTCCGGTCCGGGTGGTTTTTCTAGGGCTCCCAACTTCGCGCTTCGCGCTCCGCGAAGCGCGAAGCGCGAATAACTTCGCGCCCTCGCGCCGCCCCCCCAAAGGGAGAAAAGGAGGACGAGGAGGAGGGGGGAGAAGGAACGAGGACCGCGAAGCGCGAATAACTTCGCGCCCTCATGGGAGCCCTTGTTTTTCCTCCCTTGAAGGAGGGAGCAACGCCCGAGCGCAAAGCCATCCGGACGGGGGCCCGCAGGGAGCAGCTGCGGCAGCGGAGGGCAGACACCGAGGTCGGAGGCCGTCGGGGGCACTGCAGGCGAAGGAAGGAGGGGCAACGACAATGACGGGGCCCAGGGACACGCAAATAAACATACGAATCCAAGGGTTCCCCATATTTCCCATACTCTTGGGATGGTCTTCCCCACCACTTCCCATGCTTTTCCACACTTTCCGGGGAATCGACGATTCATTCTGTCTGTGTGTTGTTTCCCCTCCTGAGATAAGGGGTACGGACTCAGGAGGGAATATCGACCTGGAATCGGCGATATATCGCCGATGGATCGGCGATCGGCCCCCGATAGCAAATCCACACGCTCCTGGGCAGGGAATGCTGGCGCAACAAAGATGCGCCACGCCCAAGCGGGAGCTCAATTCTCTAGAAGAGTGAGCGCGGCGCCGAGGCGAGAACGACAGTTCGGCCTCTCGCGCAGGATGTGCACCCTGCCCCACTACAGCCACGCATTTTTTGCAACATGGACGACAAACTGCCCACGCTGAGACGAGAGACCTTGCTTCTGCATTGATTTTCGACCGGTAAAATGGAACCACCCAGATCTGGCCCCATATCGGCCGGTGTTGTGGCAGAGTGAAGCTTCTCCCAATAAGTAATAGGGATAAGCCGATGAGTAGTGCCTGGGGGCAGGCACGGGTTAGCCCATGGGATGTGGCCAAAGGGTAATCCTGGGGCATGCGTGAGACAAAGACTTCTGCGTATGACTCAGTGGCGTAGGGCCGATGGGAAGCCTAGGAGTGGGGCCTGGGGGTAGACCCGGGGTGAGGACAAGGCCCAGGGGTAGGTTTTCGGGTCAACTTAGGGGCTCGGGCATGAGGCAAGGCATAGTAGAAAAATCGTCCCCGTACTATGTTTGGACTATTATGGAATACTCCTCCTGCAGAGGGACAGGCCCGACTTAAGCATGGGGGTGAAGCCTGGGGGGTACGCGACTGGGCGCTGACGTGACCATCGTTGCATTGTGAGAAGTTTGTGGGCTGGAGGCGGGTTGGCCTGAGGAACGGGCGGTGCTCCAAAGAAGAACTGGACCTTGCCGCCCCTACCTTCGCATGCGGCGTGCCCATCGTTGCATCATGAGAGGCTTGTGGGCTGGAGACGGGTTGGCCTAAGGAACGGGTGGTGCTCCAGCGAGGAGCTGGACCTTGCCGCCCCCACCTTCGCATGCGGATCAGGGCGTGAGTTCCAGCGTGCGTCCCGTAAGGACTAAGCAGGGTCCGAGAGAGGAGCTGGACCGTAACGTGTCCATCACTGCATCATTCAAGGCTAGTGAGCCTTGAGCCAAGTGGCCGGAGGAACGGGCGGTGCTCGAGCGAGGAACTGGACCTTGGCAGGCCCGCCGTTGACCATGCCAAGGCTTGCGAACATGATCCCAAGTCCCATGTCTTAAGGAACGGGCGTGCAATGTATAAAGGCAACTAGTTTGAAAGCGGCGCAAGGAGCCAACCCGCTCTAGGAGCTCCGTTCCTTCGACCAGCCGCCCCGATCGACAAGACGAATCCGCACGTGCCAAGGCTGAATGAACACCGACTGGGCTCGACAACAAAATAAACAACGAAAAGCATGCAAATCTAAGGAGCCACCGAGCCCCTGCCGACCTCGAACTGGACTTTCCTTCAATGATCCGGATGTACGTCCCCCTTCGTCCGACCCGACGGGGGCAGCCGGGGATCGTGCTGGTGAAGGAGAGATAAGGAGAGCGGCGACGGCGGAAGCAACCCCCTTCCTGTGCA